GGAGAAGTTCACTGAGCATTGAATCAAAGGGAGCTGGGAAGAAGTCTCAAAACAGCATGAAGAGACTGCCAGGAAGAATTATTTCCATAATGAAATTTTATCTGACTATGCTTTTCGTGCTTCAGAAAACGCCTTTTCTGTTGCATTGTCTGCAGCACTGATGGGGTTTTGATTATACATACAGATGAGAGATGGTGCCAGCTGTATCCATTTCACTAGCTACCTGTGTGACAAGTAACACAAAACAATAATGTCACTTTTTGCTGCAAAGAACCTTGAAAATGCTGAAAGGATTTAAATTTCTCAAGTCACATTGACTTGACATAGACAAAATACCTTCATTTTGAAGCAAAAATAAATTGAAGACAATAGGCAGTGGTACATCATTATTCATGTATATTAGTGTTGTCTAAGAAACCTTTCTATGCGTTTCTACCAAAGCAATCCTGGTGGTTTTAAATGAGCAAAACCAGTTAGATAGCTAGTTGCTGACTATTTTTTTTCCTTTCTGTTAAATAACTTTCTGCTGAAAAGTGTGGTAGGCTTAGAGTTGTAATACCATGTGTAATTTGAAAAGTCCCATGTTTTCCAGCCTTGTTTGATTTGATCTAATTAGTGTGGGCATCTGAACAGTTTAGCATAAAGTCTCCACAATTAAAGATGAGGAAGGAGAATGGGGGAGAACTGAGGATTTTTCTACACTATTTTGTTGATCAGTTTCCCCCCTGCCCCCATGTTCCATCTTGATGGTGCAGCTGTAGCCAGACTGAGCAGTAAAACAGCTGCTGGCACAGTCCCTGCCAAAGCTGCTGCTTGTCTGCAGTTTGCAGTGCAGCTGCCTCCTGCCCTTCCCACTTCTCTCCCTCTTCTGTCTTCCTTAGCTCTGCCAGCTGTCCTTTCTCCAAATGTTCAAGTTTTCTTAGCACAAGACAACAACTCAAATTGCTGTTAGCTGGATTAAACTGGAGAAGATCTTGTTGCTGCCTCTGCTGTTCTGATCTTGTGGGCATCAGTGAGAGGATTTCATTACCCACAGAGACTCAACAGGCTCTGTGTTAGACAACTTAGTTTTACACAGCCATGCTACAAAGGCAAATTTCTTGTCTCCCTCAATTAAAAGGCCTTTTTGTTTTCTGAGGGAGGCTGACCACCCTTTCTTGTACAGATCATGATGTGATTTTAGTTCATCTTGGGGGTAGGTAGTCAAAATTACATACAGGATACTTGGAGAAACTGCATCTGTGTCTTTTTTTCTCCTGCACTTCTGCCACTTTTTTTCCAGCTTCAGTGCCACTGATCATAAGGAGCATTGGATTTACAGGTATTATAATGCCTCTTATCTGAACACTGCCTAGTTTTTGTTATAGTGGCAATTGTGGTTTTGTTTTGTATCACTGAAGTGTCTTCCTCCCATGTGTCAGAGAAAGAATAAGGATGATCCCTTCTTTCTGGGACACTGCCTCCCAAGGTGCTCCACAGGGGAAAGGAGGACGTGTACTCCAACATCTAGATTGGCTTGTCGGCCAGGATTCCTGGGATTTAATTTAGTGATGGGGGAAAACAGAGCGATGTTATGCATGTCCTACCACTGCCTATTGTCTTCAATTTATTTTTGCTTCAAAATGGAGGTATTTTGTCTATGTCAAGTCAATGTGACTTGAGAAATTTTACACTTTATTCAGTTTAAGATTTAGCTAGAATGTCTGAATCAAAATCATGTCACTTTCAGATGTTACTGAATGTCACTGTTGGGAACGGCGAGAAGAATGACACAGACTCTCTTGTGAGTCGAACAGGAGAGTTCCTCCCTCAAGGTTTATAACCTCAGATCTTCTATAGACTGTTACATGAAAGTACAGAAAAGTAAAACTCTCATTGGTTAGTAAACTAACACATCACCATCATTGGTCAGTGGGGTTCACTACCCCTCGGCTTTCTCTTGCAAGAAAACAAGGAACAGACAAACAGCACCTGCAAGGCTGCTTTCTATCTCTGAGGATTGTTTTAATTCCTCTTTATGATTTCCCAGGCCACTTTCTCAGGCAAGACTGAGAAAGTTATGTGGCCTGCTTTTCCACAGGCACTGTGCTGTCTGCCTTTGCTCATAGTTAGCATCCATAACTGAATTCAGATGTTATCTGAATTAGAACTTTGTGCTTTGTGTTTGTGCTTTGACCTTCCATCCTTTCTTGCTTTTGTAAGTTTGAGGAGCAGTTAAGAGGGGATCCTCAGTCCCTCACCTGAGGGCCAGCACTGATGACCACAGCACAGACTTTGGGGTCTGGAACAGCTGCCCTCTTGAGAATAGCAGACATCATCAGTATTTCTAAATATTTAACTTGAACAAGGAAATTGCTGACTGGGTCTTTGCTAATGATGGCAAGCTGTAAACATGTGTGGGGTTTGTTTGGTTTTTATTTATTCAGATAGCTACTTCTTCATGAAAAGTGTCAAGTAGCTGTTTACAAGGAATTATACATGATGTTATAAATGAGGCACTTCCTTTAGTTTCCTTAGAGGCAGTCACTTGTGATGTTCACTTACACCCTTAATGTTGTCAAAATATTAGACTGGAAGACTTAAGGTGAAAAAAGGGAGCATGTAATTGAGGTTCTGAACGGCCATGACAGCGTTTTGTTCTAGAGAGGAAAGACTTGTGTGTGTGTGTGTGTGCCATTCATCCAGGACTAAACTAACCTCAAGTAGTTGTATGTTATTGTTGAATTATTGTTGATTAGGGGAGTAAATCTGTAATGGCTCTTGTCTTAGTTTGTGAAGTTGAAATATACTGACCTTTGATGATTTGGAGTGATCTTCAGATTTTCAGAACTTAGTATCTTGAGTCAAGTGCTACTAAAATTAATTTATTTTTCATTTAAAATCTGAGAACAGAAAGGCATATGGCTAAAGATGAGCCCAAGCCAGTGTTTTCTGCAAATAAAACATGGCTACAGCTGGTACTGCCCAGAGCAGATGATGATTTATTTGAAGACTCAAATTGTGAGATGCTGTAATTAAGACCAGTGGAGGATTTGGAGATAGATGTCTAAAAAGATTTGCTTGGCCTGGTGTATGACAGAAACAAGATGCTCCTGAACTGGTTTACTTGGGGAAACAATAAAAATCTGCCTGCCACCTAGTCTTATCAGAAGAAAGCTGAAGTATGTCAGTCTATTGCTGTCTGAATATTTCTGACGGTTTTATTACATGTTACTTTTTAACATATTGCAGAAACTTCTCTTTACCTGAGGAACAGTAATTGACTTGTTCTTGTGTTCCCATACATGTATTTGATATCACAATACTGGGCACACCCTCACAGATGTGATTTTCTTATCTATGGCTGTGTGCCCGAGTAAATACTGCTTTTCTCTGGTGTCAGTTCTAGTTTCTTTCCCTGCAATATCAAGGGGGTACTTAGTATGTATCCAATACGCCCTGTCTTAACTCAATGTAGCAATGGCTGGGTGTGAGTAAGCAGGGAGTGGTGGAACAGGAGTGTCAGTCAAAGACTGAAATAAGCATGAGTTCCCTACAAGTGTAGGCTAGAGATGCTGTGTCTTACCTACATTATCGTGTGAATGAATAACAGACGATGCCTTTCAACATCGCTCTACAGCATTTCAATATCAGTCCTTTCCCTCTTGTTTGTCTATGTTAATTTTTATCATTTCAGGAGATTGTGTCTGAAGCTCTGTGTCAGCTTCAGATCTCAGTGCTAATAGTGATCTCTTTGTCTGTTGCATGTTAAACATGAGTACCAGTCATGGAGGATTGAGAACCAAAATATCATCATGAACTAGAAAAATATCTTAGCTTCATTATGTCAGATTTGACAAATGACTTAAGTTTTCAGCAGAAAAAGGTATTCATTGCTATAAACTGCATAAAGTTCTCATGATCCATAGTATCTTTCAGCTAGTTTGTAGTTTTGGAAGAAGTAAGACCTTTCTCTTACATATCTTTTAAAGGAAGAATACTTACCTCCTTAAAGCACCACAGGCAAATATTCCTGTGTTTGATCTCACTTTAACCTGTCCAGTGCAGTGCAGCCACCAGCTCTATCAGCACATAGGATGTGGAGCAGGCAGCAACCCTGTGACCTACAGCAGGAACAAGTACGGTTGCCTCAGGTCACTTCCTGCTTTTTCTCCAGTACTGATGCATGAAGAGCTGTAAATTTAGTAAGAGGCATGGACACTTTCAAAATCTCCCAGAGGAGAATCAGCTCTGCTCCCAGACGTGTGACTTAAATTATTACTGCAGAAGAATTTTTTCATTCTTTTGGCCAGTCCACTTCCTCCAACACCAGAGTCCATGAGCAGAAGTCCCTGAATTATAGCAGCCATTAACTCTTAGCATAAAATGAAGAATGAATGCACCATAAATTAACTAAAAAAGCATAAAAGCAAAGGTAGTCAGTGTAAGAGGAACATGCTTCTCAGTATACTCTGGAGTACCTTCCAGCACATCAAGGTGGCTTATGAAAAACAGGGAGAGTTACTGTTTACACAGGCAGGTGGTCATAGGACAAAAGAGAACAGTTCCAATGAAAAGAGGAGAGATTTAGATTAGATGTTAAGAAGCAGCACTTTGCTGTAAGGGTGGTGAGATACTGGAAAATGTCCAGAGAATCTGCAGATGCCCCATCCCTGGAAGTGTTCAAGGCCAGACTGGATGGGGCTGTGAGCAGCCTGGTCTAATGGAAGGTTGGTACTGTATAATCTTCAACCTTTCCAACCTAAACTATTCTATGATTCTGGGGTTCATATTTGCCTTTTCTTTTTCATGTCTTTATCAAGTGTGGGAAAGTTCATAAATAATGGCTTTCCTTAAAGGTACCTACATGGGGTTTTTAGCTGTGGGTTTCCTATTTTGTCCCTTCTCCTCTCCACCTTCCCCAAGTAAGATCATAGGTAGTATTACAACGTAATTGAAGTGTTAAGTACTAGAATTACCTAATGTCTTCATTTTCTTTTTTTGTGTGTGTTTTTAAACAGGAAGATGAACAGAACTGAATTTTAGGACCTAACTGCTGATGGGCTGGATTTTATCTTGGCAGGAGTTCTGAAGATTGATGCAGTGAGAGAAGACACAGCCAATGGCTTCAGAATCCGTGGTCCCTGAGCAGGCAAAACAACATCTGATAAAGGGAAAAAGGCGGCGGCAGCAGCAGCAGCAACAAACTCGGCCTTCCAGCAGTGATGGGGATGATGATGTCTTTGTGTTTGAGGCAAATGAGGCTTGGAAGGATTTTCACAGCTCTCTTCTTCACTTCTTTGAAGCTGGAGAGCTCTGTGATGTTACACTGAAGGTGATACTTGTCACATACCCATTGCACGTTTCAGTCTGAAGATTAAGGTGCAGTTTAAGTGTGTTGGGAGGTGAATATTGGCAGGAGTGTGGAAGCCACAGAATACCTCTTGGATCTGAGGCATGGATGTGAGCTCTAAAGATGCTCATATTTTTTCCTTATTTAAGAAGTTTACAGCTGAAATTTAAATACTTAAAATACTGACAATCCAGGAGAGGAACCACAAAGTCATGTGGTCACTTACCTTCTAAGCAAGTTCCCACAGTTGGTCACTAAGTATTGTGCAATTCCAGCTCCTTGTAGCCTCTTTGTTCTCAATATACTTTCATTCCCAATTTTACCTCCATGTTTGCATTTTGTGTTGTTTTGCTAGATTCTTCTCAGGAAACAGGGTTTCTGGAACAAGTCTAACTTCCAGCATTCTTCAAAGAAAGAAAAAACCCCAGACAGTTGTATTCTACAGCTGATCAAAGAGTAAAGGAAGAGAGAGAGGAAGGAAATTTTATGATTCTTGCATAGCATTGCTTTGGTGCATTATTTGTAACTCAGCTGTATGTTACTTACATCTTGATCACAATAAATTTGTATTTAGCATGCAAGATGGTTATTTAAGGAATAGTGATAAAGCACAGTTCCTAAACCAAGAACAAATGACAGATGCCTTTAGGAGATGCTGTTAGCCTTATACTTTGACTATTAGATATGAACAGAGAAAATCCTTGATGTATGTCCATATGTGTATGTCCGTAGTGTTACCAACCCTTTTCATCTCTTATCTTGTTGACCTCATTCTTACCTTCCTTCCTCTCCACCTACCCTTGCAAAAAAAAAAAAAAAAAGGCAGAAAGTCTTATTTTATAAACACAATTAAATGCATATTCCTGCTAGGGAAGCTTGCCTTGGAAAATACACTTTCCTGGGGCTGCAGTTTAACTTTCCATAAGTTAGGCTTCTATTAATGTTCATTTGTATGATATGTGTGGAGCTATTTTGGTAACTTAAGAATATTAGATGATATGACTTGGCATCCAGTGAAGGCTAGAGCAACCTGTGGACATCTTATTGTATGGCTTCCTAAATCAGGGATTTTCAAGTAACTGCTATGTACTTGAATTAGAATTTTCAGGGGGGCTTGATTTTTTCTTCCAGTAGTGCTCAGGCCTCACTCATGTTTTAAGAATAATCAGTTCTCTACTGAACTTTCTGCTTTTGTGTGTGACCTGAGTTAGTGAGCAATTCTGGCATTGCTATCATCAGACCAGTTACTGTTTTATCTGCTGGCTCCTAAAATATGATAGTAACTGGAGGGGAACTCCAATTTCAAAATAGCAAGGACATGCCAGATAGCTGGTGGAAAGTGTCCCTGCCCATGGCAGGGGGTAGAATGAGATGACCTTTAAGGTCCCTTCTAACCCAGACCATTCTGTAGTTTGAAATTAATTAGATTTGGATTCCATAGTAAAGCCACTTAATTAAAAATAAAGGTTTAATTAGAGAGTGGGATGATGGGCAGAATACAAGTATCCAAATGTAAGAATAGCCTAGGAGCTTTTCCTAATACTAATCCCTAATAGCAGACCACTGGTCACATCTTTCTGTATCAGTACTGTAGTTAGTTGGGGTGCTGGTGCTGTAAGAGTGATAAGCCTTGGGAGCACACAGGAAGACTCTCTGTGCTCCACAGATTTAAATTCTGGGATTTCACCTACTCTCCTGCTGCTGTCATATGACCAGTCTTAGAAGGCTGTTAGAAGGTGGAGAGTGGCACATGAATATAATCTACATTTCTCCTGGTGGTTTGCTTTTTGTTCATTTCGTAGGTCTGAATTAAATTGTTCCTTCTGGGGTGATCTGAAGTAATCACACTGAACCATCCATCTGTTTCCTTTTTTTTTTAATCTGCATGCTCTTGCTTGTGTGTTTGCTTTCTCTACTCCACTCACTGCTCACCAGGTGGGTTACCCTGGTGTTGATCATACTCTTTAAAAAGATAGAGCAATTGAATATTGAATCAGAGCTAGAAAAACATCCAAAATATCCTTTATAATTTAGTATCATTTTATTTTTTAAGTCCACAACAGCTCTCTGTAACACCTTCATCTGAAAATGAACGTGTAATTTGAGTCTATCAGGGAAACTGGTTGCTTTTGTCATCCAGCCATCCCTTTATGTTAGTCCAGAATGACAAAGGCTGTAAGAAAGCACTCCTGGAACACAAATAACCAGTGGATTATTCATTTATCTTCAATTCTTAGGTTCTTTTTTGATGTAGTGGAATTATAGAATTTTGTACATTAAACGCTTATTTTACACTTTCTGATCAGAATTTTGAGAAATACTTTTTCTTTATGGGGTGTACACTGGTTTTTGTGGGTAAAGATTCTAAAATTATTGAAGTGATCAGTAGCTTTTAATAACCCCTGAAATAGCTGTTATTCTTATGTTTTTACATAAATTTGCTTCTATAGACATCAATTCCTCAACAGTAGTAAAGTCTAGAAATCTAAATCAAGTAGTCTGAAAATGCCCCTTTCTAATTTTCCCCCCTGAAGTCTCTGAGTACATACAAAACAAGTGTCTAACAGTCTCCTCCCATCTAGAATATTTCTAAAGATGCCTCATAAGGCTTTTAAAGAAAGACAAGTTCAGTGCTGTTGCTTCCTTTACTCTCATGGCCAAGCTACAACTTAGAATTCCTTGCGATACTTGGATGTTATGTCAGAAGTACAGGACAAAGGAGGTTAATTTGTGTGGACAAAATACAGACAAAACTGATGGAGTCCAGAATTCAGCTTCACTGTTCCTTCTTTCACAGCCAGAATTGACATTCCAGTAAAATATTGGGGGTTTTTTTTGTTCTTTTCTCTTTCAGGTTGGTTCGAAGCTAATCGCCTGCCACAAACTGGTGCTGGCTTGCGTTATCCCGTACTTCCGAGCCATGTTTCTTTCAGAAATGGCTGAAGCCAAGCAGAAGCTGATCGAGATCAGGGACTTTGATGGTGATGCCATCGAGGACCTGGTGAAGTTTGCATACTCCTCGCAGCTCACGCTGACGGTGGACAACGTGCAGCCCCTCCTGTACGCTGCCTGCATCCTGCAGGTAGAACTGGTGGCCAAAGCCTGCTGTGAATACATGAAGCTGCATTTCCACCCTTCCAACTGCCTGGCAGTCAGGGCATTTGCTGAAAGCCACAACCGCATAGACCTGATGGACATGGCTGATCAGTTTGCTTGTGAACATTTCACAGAAGTAATGGAGTGTGAGGACTTTGTGAGTGTGTCACCACAGCACCTCCATAAACTCCTGTCTTCCAGTGACCTGAATATTGAAAATGAAAAGCAAGTTTACAATGCTGCTATCAAGTGGCTGCTGGCCAATCCCCAGCATCATGCTACATGGCTGGATGAGATCCTTGCACAGGTAGGGCAGACTGAGGCACAAAATGCCTGTCTCATCACTGGTTTAGTTGTGTAATCAGCTCTTTGCACTTGGGTAGATCTTAAAGTGAAAAATGTTCTTAGCTTTTGGTGCCTCATCCGGTATTCAGGGTTGGGAGTTGACAGTGGAAGCAACTTAGAGTTCTTAAATATCAGAGAGAAGTGATACTCTCCCGTTTCTGTAGAGAGAAGAGTACTCACTTTATGCTTATGGCTGGGAGATGGGGAACCAACAAAAAACTATATCTGTGGCTGAGCAAAAATGTTTTATGCTGACATAAAACAGATAGAATATAAAACCATCACTTCACTTGGCTTACCACTCCTACAGCCTGCTCGCCGCCCTTGCTGTTACGTATTTGTACTTAAGAAAGGAGGCAAAGCTGTTGCATTTTCTTGGATGGCTAGGAAAGTAAACTAAGAGCAATGTGTCACATTAAGTTGTGTCACAGTATTTGACACAGGTGTGGGGAGCCTGTACTGGGAAGGATTTGCATGCCACATGCTGCAAAACATTCCATGTGTCTTAGCAGGTAGGATTGGCTGTGCAGTTTTAGTTGTCACTGAACTCCAACTTGATTATTTTGCATTTGGCTGAATTGATAATATTGGCATTATGTGAGTAAGGAGAGGTCCTCTGAGATGCTGCTGTCATTGTCTTCATGAATAATTTTTTGCATTTCCTAGGAAAAGATGACAGTGGTCTATTAGCTGTCTTCCAAAAAGCTTCAGTTTCATCTAGACTAGCATGAGGTTTTTGGTACAAAAACCCTTTCTTTATTATGCTATACATAAACTTGCAGGCAGTATAATTAAAGATTTTTTTAAAGATATTTATATTTATTTCCCAGTTGTGCTGGCAGATGAGATTAACAGTTTCATTTTGTCGATGGAAACCAGATGTTGATGGAAACTGGATTCAAGCAAAGAAAAAATAAACTCCTTCTTGTAAATATGGGCTATTTTCTGGAGCATATGGAGTCATCTGTTGACTTGAACATTACTGCTAGCAGAAAACATGCCTGGGCTTCTAGACAGTGATTATCCATGTCATAATCAGCCTTATAGGTTTCACTTTTATAATGGGGTTCGGAATTTAACAGCCTGGAGTTTTTAGCACATCACTAACCTTAGGAGCCTGTCAGCAAGGCTACAGAGGTGCTTTAAAGTAGCCTCAAATAAGCTGGGCCAAAATAAAGGAAGAAGTGGAACTGAAAGCAAGGAGGTGAGGAAGAACGGGCAGAGACGCATGCTTGCTTCAAGACAGGGATGCTTGTCAGTGCTGTAAGAGCCCCATCCTGCTCCTCTGAGAAGCACTGCAGCTGCTGGACTTCCATACCATTGCTGTTGAGCCAACTGAGCTGCTTGACAATGATGACTCCAAACCTTAGGAAGTCAGGTGAAGATTTGCTTCAGTTCCCCCCACTAACATGTGGCCCATCTTTGCCTCTGATTCTGCACTGTTTGTCTTACGAAGAAGGATGAAAGGTTTGCTGAAATAAATGGCAGGAATGATTTAAAGATGGAAACAATTAGCTCTCAATAATTATCACAGGTTTTTTTAAGCTTGAAGTCTGTCAAGTCTGCCTTAGAGAAAGGTGTTATTGCACTAGAAATACTTCCTTCATAGCCACTTACTTCATGGTGACTAAGTGTTTCCTTTTTGACTTGCCACCCAAAGAAAATGAACCATTTTAGCACAAGCCCTCTTACACTGGCATAGCAGTGAGCTAAGATTGATACCCAACAGCAGATTAACCTGATAAACCCCTGGTAAAGCCACAGGTGCTGCCTGCATCACACTGGGCAGGTGCATATGCATCATGGGCAGCAGCTTGTCTCCTTGCTCAACACAGACTGGGCCAAGGGACGCTTCTTTGCTCTGGCTGAAATGCAAATGGTTGTAGCAAACATTATCAGCAAAAAGAACTGTTCATATCACTGTTGTCTGGAACAACTCTGAGAGCTGCTCTCCTGGTTGAGGAGCGTGGGGCTGCCAGCTGGCTCCGGAGCTGCCGGCTGGTGCATGTGCAGCGCTGCATGGTGACACTCAGCAGTTGAGCCACTTTCTCCAACTGTGTTCATTTCTGTGTCAGGTACGGCTGCCTCTCTTGCCCATTTGTTTCCTTATGGGTGTTGTGGCAAAGGAAGAGATTGTCAAGCAGAATCTAAAATGTAGGGATTTGCTGGATGAAGCAAGGAACTACCACCTTCACCTGAGCAGCAGGGCAGTGCCTGACTTTGAGTACTCCATTCGCACAACACCAAGGAAGCAGACTGCTGGTAATTAAATGTGTGTCTGGTTACCCAGTAGGGAGTGGTGTGGAGAAAAGGCAGCACATCTGTGCAGGTGTCTTAATATCAAGCAGGTATGACTTGATATCGAGGGTTGTTCATGACCTAATGCAAAATTGGGAAAGCCATTATGTACCTCTCTGATATTTTGGTAATGTGCTGCATTTTCCTAGCAGAACTTTAGCAGTCATTTTCTTTCTTTAAAGCATTAATAATTTTTTCTGATTTGCTCTTATCTGTGTTAAAGTCAGAGCTGTTATGTATGTTATGACCAGGCAATCTGTTCAAAGCTGTACTGAAAACAGTGGGTAGTTATCGTTTGGTGTTGAAGGCTGAGCTAACTTTTAAAGTCTTTGACTAACCTACCCCAAAACTGAGTGATGAATGTTGACCACAGATCATAATTTCTACATCATTGTATTTAACAAACAATGGATTTATCTCCTTAAGCCAAATCACAAAAAGCATATATAAAATATGAATTGTTTTTACAAGAGCATAGATAGCTAATTGCCATAGCAGCATGTCAAGCAAAGGCCAAAAGCCAGTATCCAGTTATGAAGGGCAATGACTGTACTCCTTGAAGTGGAATACAACTTCTCCCGAACTACGTAATTTTCAGTTTGCTCTTCTATACAGCTGTTTTTGCCCATCCTCCTGATAGTTCTGTGGTAAGCTGTTTTGTGTTCTCCAGGCGTGCTGTTCTGTGTCGGTGGCAGAGGTGGATCAGGTGACCCCTTCCGCAGCATCGAGTGTTACTCCATCAGTAAGAACAGCTGGTTCTTCGGCCCTGAAATGAACAGCAGGAGGAGGCATGTGGGTGTGATCTCCGTGGGAGGTCAGTAACCCTATTCAAGCAACCTCAGGCAAAAGGCACTTGTTTGCTCCTTTTGCTGAGTTGGTACTTCTACCAGCTGTACAAGTAGTAAACTAATTGCTTAATTGTTGGATAGTCTTCAGTTTAGTAAGGCTTCTCCCCCTTGAAGGAGTGTTTGGTCCTGAGCCAATCTGAGACTGTACTTATGGAAAAAACATTACTGACAGAACTGGGCTGTTCAGATTTGGGAAGGCTCCATGGAGACCTTATTGTGGCCTTTCTGTGCTTTAAAGGGAGCTTACCAGAAAGATGAGGACAGGCTTTTTAGTAGGGCCTGTTGTAATAGGACAAAAGATAGTGGTTTTAAACTAAAAGACAGTAGATTCAAACTAGATATCAAGCAGAAGTTTTTTATGGTGAGGTTGGTGAAAACCTGGAACAGGTTGCCCAGAGAGGTGGTAAATGTCCTGTCTTTGGAAGTGTTCAAGGTCAGACGGGATGGTGCTCTGATCAACCTGAAAATGAAAATGTCCCTGTTCATGGCAGAGGGGCTGGACTAAATGACCTTTAAAGTTGCTCCCAGCCCAAGTGATCTGTATATAGCCTCTTGCCTTAAGCAGGTGATTTACTTTTTTAAAAGCCATTTATAAAGAAATGGCCTTACCAGCACTCACGCAGAATTTCCTAGTACTTGTACTGGCTCCCCTCCTACTTAAATCCATGTGGAAAGAGTTACGGTCCTTGGAAGACCATAACTCTTCCAAGAGCATATCTACCCTTATTTTTGAGTCTCCACCTTCTGAAAATAGATCTGTGCAGTCCAGCTTAGCTTAGTAAGTAAGGCAGCTTCCTCTTGAAGGTGGCAGCCCCTCTGTTGCTGCAGCAGAACAGAGATAATTTTTCTCCATAGAAAATCTGGAGAGACTGGTACATGTGTCCAAACTTATTTGACCTGCACTACTTAAATTACAGGAAGATTTTTTTGTCTACAGAATCTCAAGTTTTGTGTAAAAGTTCACATTAGGACAGATTTCTGGTTGAGTACAGCATATAAAACTCTGATATTGAAAACATTTAAAAACTTTAACCTTTATTTGACCTTCATTATCTCCACATAGGCAGGGATGTTATATAAATGAAAACTGAAATGTTGCCAAGCAATCTCCTTATCAAAAGATGTCTGTGTGTTCAGGTAAAATCTACGCAGTAGGTGGACATGATGGAAATGAACACTTAGGAAGCATGGAAGTATTTGATCCTCTCACAAACAAGTGGATGATGAAGGCATCAATGAACACAAAGAGGTATATGTGTCCCATGCACCAAGTTCTAGCCTGTGATGTGCCATTTCTTGCTGATACTGAAAAACATCCTGTCTGTCCTGCCTTTTCTGGGGTTTCAAACTGTTCTATTTCTTGGAATTTCTTTCCTCTATTTTGGAGCTTTATGCTATGAATGTACTACCCTTCTGTTCCTTTTTTGGAGGAGCTGGCTTCTGGACCAGGGAACTCTTCTACTCCAGCTATGCTTGCATTCTGGTATCCAGGGCCTTTCTGCTGTGCCCAGTAAACAACTTGGAATTGATGAACTGGTTCTCTGGGGTTTTTGCTCTTTTTAAGAATGAGTGAGAGAACTGCTAGCATAACATGAGAAGTGAAATACTTCATAGTGAAAATTTTAGAAAGTGAAATACTACACCAGGAAATAAATAGCTGCCTATGTTTTTCACACAAAAGACCAGAAGTATGCCATCTGAAAGTCAGATTGAGGACTTCTTTTGCCTTGACATTTAATTTGCCTTGACATTAAACTCCTTTTAAGGAGTTACTGGACTCATAGATCTGTAATTTTTTGTTTCTGCTGTTACATAAATCAGTGCCCCTCTTCTGTATTCCATTTTGTTTTTTGTTGTTTTTCAAAGCATCATGTACAAGTAGGAGTGAAATATTAAGTATGGCTTAAGTCTGAAAACTATTTGTGACCTAATTAAAGTAGAAGACCCAGACTCCTAGAAGTGGCTTGCTCTACTTCCTCCTGCCATCACCCCAGGGCATGGTCTCAGCAACAAGATTTCTGTGACATTTATTACTGAGTACCCAGGTAAATTAAAGGGCTGCTGTGCCTTGGGTACCTCCCAGCTCCACTCTTCCCATTCATGGAGGTCTTGGAATACTTAGTGGGGAAACAAACTGCCACCATTAAGTGGTGTCTGTGTTATCTGCTGAGGCAATTTAAGATAAGCAAGGTATTGCCACAATGTTTGTTCTGTAGAAAGATTGTGCCTCCCTTGCTTCTGCCTCGGTATCTCTGAACCTGCTGTCATTATTGAGACAAAATATTGTCAGTAACATGGTAAATCACCTCTCTTGGTGGTTAGAGCAGAAACTTAATGCTCACATTCTAGACCACACTTTTAATTTTATAGTACTGATTGTACTCTCATATTGGTAGATTTAGTAGAAACAAATCTGACCTTCATTTTAACACTTAATAAAAGGCCAGAATGGAAGAAACTGCAATTAAATCTTGCTGGAGTTCAGCTATTTAATCTCCAGCACAGGTTTGCCTTTTGATACGTATTAGTAGCACCCCCAGTCATTCTCAAATGGTAGCAGCCAGTTATACCAGCAAAGTTTAAACCAGCAGGTTTTAGTTCATCTTTAGATTTAATAAAAGAGAGAAATGGTATCTAAGACAATGTCATGTGTCTAAGTATGTGAGCAGAGGACTTGGCTGTTGTTAGAGTTGACATCCAGTCTAAAGGACACAGGTGTGCAAAGGGCCAGCGACATGATTTACTATAAACGTCACTTTTAGAATTTCCATTACTCTTTTCCCCCTAGTTTGAAACCGGTGCCATTCCTGTGTGGCTCCCTCTGGTTAAGGACTTGCACTAAGGTGTTGCTGGTGTGGTTTTCTAGGAGAGGCATCGCCCTGGCATCCCTGGGCGGCCCCATCTATGCCATCGGGGGCTTGGATGACAACACGTGCTTCAGCGACGTGGAGCGCTACGACATCGACTCGGATCGCTGGAGCACTGTGGCCTCCATGAACACTCCCCGGGGAGGTGTCGGCTCTGTAGCCCTGGTGGTGAGTGGCTGGTTCCTCCAGGGCCGGGGCCAGCTGGGGAGCTTACCTGCTTTTCAAAGCTGTATTCACAAGGCAGAACACAAGGTCTGAAACAAAAGGCAGCTGGTGGGATTGAGCACCTCTGGTCATCAAAATCCTGTGCAAAAAGTGAGGATATGTAGGCTAATACTCACAGCAAGTTGAACTGTTTCACCAGTATTTGAGGTACTGGGAGGAGTACCCTTCTAATGACATGGATAATGCTTCCTATCTCATTCAGAACCGGACTGGTTTGTCATGGTCACTGTGTTGAAAGGTAACAAATGTGTGCTCTACTTTAATCCCCCTGTGCTCTGAAAAACAGCTGCAACACTACAAAACTGTTGTACTTCTTTCATTGGAAGAGATAGCATTTATGTTAGATAGTTAAATCTGTTGTTGGGATTCTTAAATGAAAGTGGATATACCACATTTTCCTATAATTTCAACACTTCTTACGGAAGAGCTGAGTAAAGGCAGCTACATCACAAATAATCTTTGTACAACTGTTTTCCAGAACCATGTTTATGCTGTGGGTGGCAATGATGGTGTAGCATCTCTTTCCAGTGTGGAGAAATACGATCCTCACTTGGATAAGTGGATAGAAGTGAAAGAAATGGGTCAGCGAAGGGCTGGGAACGGTGTCAGTGAGCTCCACGGCTGCTTGTATGTTGTGGGTGAGTAGGGATGTGGCATTTTGTAGTGCTGCTGCTGCTGCTGCCAAGTGCTGGGCTTTGGAAGAGGCTGTTGTTGCTAGAGGAACCGGGAACAGATAAAGCTGACCTGTACTTGGTGTTCTTGAGCAGAAGAATGCAAGCACAGCCAGGGCACACTTAAATGAAGGTACGTTAGCAAGGAAATGAAAAGCAGCTCCTAACCCGCATCTCAGGAGGGCTGATCTGTTCAAGACAATATGTCTGTATTAGAAAATCCTCTCAAGACTCACTACTATTGAGTTTCCTTTTAGGAAACGATTCTTAAGTTCACATGCTTTCAAAGCACTTCAGTTTGTTCTGTGTAGAGTGTAGACAACATTACCTTTTTTTGCACTTATTCTACAGCTTGTCTTGTGTGCTACTTTGTATTTACCTGCTTTCCTGCTGGGTAGGTGTGCCACAGGTGTGATAGTTTAAAAAGCTCTGACATGTGTATACATGAACATATATATATTCAAGCACATAAGTGAATTGAAAACGAATTTTTTTTTTCCTATTCAGATATTTGTCAATGCTGTAATTTAAGAACACTGCTAGAGTGTGTTTTGCATAAAGTAAAATAAGTTTGAGACCATCCTTTTGCTGGTATTAGGTTTCTTCCTCTTCCAAATAGGAAGCTGTTTCATTCTAAGTATGATGAATTCAGGGAGAAAAATAATAAAATTAGAATCCTTGCAACTTGAGAAGAAAATTATTTCTCTGGGTGATGTTTCTGCAGTGAGAAGAGCTGTTAGATTAATTTTTAGGAGCTTGTTAAGTTTGGATAAAGAGAGAGCTGGACAGTACCCCCTGAATGCTGAGAATGATCTGATAATGCCAGTCTTGGATATTCCCTGCACCAGGAGTGCCAAGAGCTGACCCTGTGATGGCTGTTTGCAGGTGGCTTTGATGACAACTCACCCCTGAGCTCGGTGGAGCGGTTTGACCCACGCTGTAACAAATGGGAATATGTGGCAGAGCTCACAACTCCAAGGGGTGGTGTTGGCATAGCGACACTGATGGGAAAAATTTTTGCAGTTGGAGGTCATAATGGCAACGTGTACCTGAATACAGTAGAAGCATTTGATCCCATAGTGAACAGGTAATTTCAAATGTTTTGTTTGTCCTAATAAGACAAGGAAATCTGCCTGTATGAAAACACAGCAGCATAGAAGCAGTGTGCAGGAGGAGCCTAGCTGTTGTTTCCTGGTTAATAATTGAATACTATCCATAACTACCAATGCAGGGCTGCTGCTTATATCACTAGGGCAGTCTTGTAAATATTTAAGCACCTCCTCCTCCTCTGCTCCTCTCTATCCCTTCTCATCACCCTTTCATTCAGTAACAGTCTACATGCTTCTGCTTGTTGCAGAGATTTTGCACTAAATGGGGCGTATTTTTGTGCAGAGTGAACAGCTAGGCAATGTAATAGAATCTCAGGCACAGAAAATAGTTTCAGGTTCCTCAGAAAGGGCAGGAGCTTATTTTTCTTTTCTCCCTTTTCTAGGGAAAAAGAAAAATTTTTTTCTTTCTTTTTCTTTTCTAGGTGGGAACTCGTGGGCTCTGTGTCACACTGCAGGGCTGGGGCAGGCGTGGCCGTGTGCTCCTGTCTCAGCAGCCAGATCCGGGATGTGGGCCAAGGATCCAGCAACGTTGTGGACTGCATGTGAGCTCTGCCACCTCCTCCAAATTCCAAAGGAGTGCTACAAGGGTGGCACCACAGAGCTTCTAAACACTGTGTTTTTATAGCAGGTTAAGGAATAAATCCAGTAAATTTTCCTTGTGAAAATGGTATCTTCTGCAACTGTAAAGCTTTTGGTGTCTTTCAAATAGCGATACAGAAAAACCTGTTAAAACGTGGCATAAACGTGAGTCCCATGTGACTCACAGGAGCAAACCTGCCAAGGACTGCAGTTATCCCATTCTTGAAAGCTGTAATTTCAGAATCGTTTGAGGTAGCTGTTGCAAGGACTCAATATTGAACTGTAAATCAGGCATGTGGTGAGGAGACCAGCAGCAGCTACTGCTGCTGAGCTTCCCCCAAAAGCCCTGCTACGTGTTGTCTGGAGGGCTTGAGTGCCATTTCATTTAACTTATTTTCTGGAATGGAGTCTTAAACATTTCCCAGTTGTACGAGAGCTCTGTAACTGAAGGTGTCTCAAGTTGTACAAGTAATGACATCCTTGATGCTGAGAGATACTGAGATAACTGAGGCAGAGAAGTTCACTGCTCACCTCCAGAGGGAATGCTGCCAGCAGTGGAATTGCAGGGATTCTGTCTGAAAACTGTCTTTCAAAGTATTTTCTCGAGTTAATAAACTTGTTAGAAAGCTGGAAAGATTATTCAAAATCTCAGTCTAAAAGATCTGAGTTTAGCCACTGGAATACTGGAATTCTCTAGTCTTCCTTGAAATTTGGAATTACTACCCCCCTCTCCAAAGTAGTTGCTGTTGAGACGTCCTTCCTGAAGTAACCAGTGTAATTTGTCCTATTTTGAGATGATAGTGTGTGAAAATGTAGGGTTCAGTGGTGGTTAAATCACCATTTTTATATAAAATGGAAATGCATGATAAAATTCGTGGTATTCTGTAAAACTTTCAGTACAACTCTAGAAGACTTGACTGTTTTAAGTATCCGGTAGCAACTCTGGTAACATTCTCGAGTTACTTGCTCTTTTAAGGGAGCAGATAAATAACCTCAAAACCTTAAATGAACCAAAGAGAGTCAGCAAGAGAGATAATTGGAATAAACCAGTACTTCCATTAAAAAATTGAGATAGCAATGTGACAGCCCTGCATACAAAGATGTCTTGTTACACCATTACAACCCCTGAATCCTGAGTAAAGTCCTGCTGGAAAGACTGCAGATTCCTGTTCCTGCATCACCTTGAACAGACCCAACAACTGACAATCCTTTGTGACCAAAGTTTTGCAATTACTGGGTTGTTCCAAATACCCAGGGAGAGCAGCAAACTTCTCTGCATTCAGGACTGGGAAGAGGCAGGACAGCAGGAGTGAGGAGGCACAGTTGTGTTTTTCTGCTGTTACCATCATTTGGCTTTCCTGCCCAAAATGGTAGCATTTTTACCAAATGCACTTTGGCAGCAGCCAGGCACAAAGTGAACAGTACTGTAAATAATGAAACATTGCAATAAAGCATTTGTACTTCAAAGCACCTTGTTTCTTGTATGTCTGGAGCACACGGTTTCTGCAGTGAATGTTTCTCAACAGGAAGCTTCTGTTAGCAGAGAGAATCCTGCATTGCCACCATGGGCTGCACCACCCCACCACCTTCCTGACAAGGATGTGGTTACCTTCATGGTTCTTGACCTGACTGAGGGGTGGAAAGGAGGGATAAAGGTTCCCTCTCTGGGGCCAAATGGATGTCCTGGCTAACAAAAACCCACCCTGAGTTTTCTACCAAATGGCCCTGACTGTGAAGCGAGGTAGCCCAGTGGTGCAGGTTGCCATCCGATCCATTTCTCTTGGTGGGAAAGTGTGACACCCATGGGTGCAGCCTGTGGGTGACTCATGCCTGGACCACACTGACCACAGCACCTGCCAGGCACCAAAGGGAGAAGTGTTCAGCAGGGAAATCAGGTTACAGTAAAAGCTCTGGGATTCTCTGCTGTGTGGGAAGAGCTGGAAGTCACATGGTATTAGCTCAGAACCGGATTCTAAAACAGGCATCTCATTTGTAATTCAGTGCACACCCCTGCCCCAACACTCATGTTCAGGGCTCTGGAGGTGTATCCCTGAGGACTGGTAAGAAAAGTGTAAAGCAGGTTTACAAGGAACAACCCTGTTCCCAGAACAGTTATGTTCCACGCTGTTAACCTTGGATGGCACCACAACTAAATATATTTTGTACAGAACTGGTTTTAGAATCGCTCTTGCTGGAAATGTGCTAATGATGACAAAATATAAGAAATAAAAATACAGGATTACTGTGGTGACAAACTGTAGTGACCTACCTGCACAAAAAGCTGTTGTGATCTAACACCTGTCTTGGCAAGGGGACAGTGATGACAAAGGAATATTCCCCCCCCACAACTCCATGCTGAAGAACAGAGCAGCCATGCAGTGGTTGGAGGCTACCTACTCCCCACACCTTATTTATTTATTTATGTTCAAAGGGGATTGTGGTCCATTTGTTTATACTTTCCCAGCTTCGAATACTATTTAATACTCCTCTTTTCCAATGGAATCTTGTTCCTAATAGAGCCAGGCTGGCAGCAAAACTCTCTGGATTCAACATCCTGCTAAAATAGCTAAGAACAGAAAATTTTAGAAGGCAAAGCATATGATATTTGCATATTTTAAAATATAAACCAAATACGTGCATGTGCTCCTGTCAGAAAGAGTGCAGACTTCCCTCCTGTTTGATCACCAGCTGGGAAAATTATTTCAACTAGAAATGCCTGCCTGCAGAGGGGGATGCAGCCCTGCAGAAAACGAGGCCCGCCCTGGAAGAGAGCTCTGCTCACACTGTGTGTTTGCCAACACAACCAGTGGCCTTGGGATCCTGCACGGGAGAAGCAGCAGGAGTCAACAGTGATCCAGGAGGATATCCAGGAGGGATACCCTGCTTGTCTCCAGGATCTTTCAGATGCGATGGGATTTGGGGGCAGTTACTGCACTGTCAGTACTGGTAACCTTTATAGGGTTAACATACTATGCCTATGGAGCAGCCTGAACATGTCAGAAACAATTTATTCATCAAAACCAAGGAAACCTTGCCTGTGATATGGTAAGACTATTAAAGAGAAGTGAGGAGGTAATTAAATAACAGCAAGGGCTAACAGCAGATTCTGAAACCAGCACTTGGGTGAGCAGCCTCTTTCTCACTGCATTCAAGGGCAAGCAATAGTGATGCAGACAGTCCAGCAATTCTAAGGCTGTTGAGGCACCAGATTCTATGAGATCATTTTGCTGCCAAGAACTTTTTATGTGCAGTTATTTAAAATGAGGGTGCCTTCCTAGGTCCTGGTTACAGAACCTCAGTTCGGTGTCCTTACCTTCATTTGCAACAACATTTTTATTTTGGAGTGTTTTCATCTCTTCTGGTAGTTGGAAACAAGCTGCATGAAACACACATCACGAAGCAAAAAAAAATCTACAAACACCAGTCACTGAGGAATGGGGTCAGGCACCACCAACCCAGGGAAATTCCTGAATAAATCAAGGTTTGTCAAAGATAAAATCAAGGTGCTCAGAATGCAACACTGACTACATCATTTCCTACCTCCAGCCCAGTCTAATTGCCCTGAACAATGATGGGAACAAGAAGGAGCACCTTGTTTGCTATGTCTGCCATGCCTGCTGGGATAGCTGCAGGATGCTCAGCAGGATCCTGCCTGATGGGAATGTGGCTCCCACATCAAATGACACCGAGATTCATTTCACAAACAAGTTGTCAGCTGTCACAGTGGGGTTCTGAGACATCTCTCCTGGTTCGGCCAGGTTGAGCGTGGTGGAATAAATGGGGACAGGTACAATGGAGTGCCCAAAGATAGCTTCTGATGTTCACAGAGACCACACGGGCCAAGGGGCTGCTTCCAAAGACCAGGGGGCGTGTCAAACTTAACAATGTACGGGGTATCTGAGGGCAGGTATCCAACTGCGACCGCAGGACAGGGGTTTTGACCTTATAAATCTAAGGTAGGATGACTCCATCAGCATCCCCCAGCACCCTGCCTCCCAAGGCTTCAGGTTTATTTTGTCTGTGTCAGGAACCTGGTCCATGGTATGATCTATCCCAGCTAATTCAATTCCCACAGTCAACAGGTGTGGAGGCCAGTGGGTTGGCCAACAAGGTGATCACTCGGCCCCTGGAGAGAAAGCCCCTAGGCTCCAGCTAGCCACTCTCCCCCCGGGGGAGAAACCCTAGCTAATAGCCTTTGCAGTTGTGCCAAGCAAAAATGAGTCACCCCCTGCAACATGTCTTGCAGCCCACATGAAGTTTGTGTACCCCATGCAGTTCTACATATCCCATTGGTTCTTCCCCTTTGCTCTGTCCCTGAACCCTCAGTTGATACAAACCCCAGTTTCCTCCGATTCCAAGGCTTTTCATCACATGACTCCTCGGAGGAAGGAGCTGAATAAAACCTCCTCAGGGACTCCCTATGAAGGCTCCATCTCTTTCCTTCTGTGTCACCTGAAGAGCTGCATTCAGTCAGCAGCCCTTTTCAGGGCTCACAGCTGAAACCGTAGAGCAGCTGCAGACATGCCTGTGCCTCCAGGACATCCATCTATGGATGCTTTTCTAGGAAGGTCACAGCACCCAGACCACAGACCCAGTTGTAACGAACAGGTGATAAAAATTCCTCCAATTACTCCTTTTAAGTTTAATTAGAACTAATTACTGGGAAATTCTTAACCCTAAGTTGTTCCCACAGTCAAATGAGGCTTTCTGTCCTTATTTAGGCTAAAACTGTTCTTGAAACTATTTTCAGCATCACTGCAGTGCAGAGTTCTGCAAACCCAAGTACTCTGTTCCAGATACTCCACTTAAATTTTTTTTCTGGGTGCTTTTACCACGTCTGTACTTGTTTTCTAAAGCTTTGCACGTTTTCTCTGATTGAACTGGTAGCAAAAAAAAGCACAACCAGCCAGGAAATTAAATTTGTATTTGTAATTCCTCTTTGGCTCAGTATACAAGGCTAGGGTTGCTGCCATTTTGTGGCATTCTAAAGCAACTTTAAGCAGGCAGCTGTGCAGCTCTGTCTGTTCCTGGGAGTTGCAGCAGGGTCAATGAGAAACATTTTCTTGACAGGCAAGACTTAACAGGAACCAAGAATTGCTCGTACATTATCTTCCCCTGCATGCATTTTCCAAGAAAGAAAAAAACAGGACAGTGCAAACCAGCACACCTAACTCAGGTGCTGGGAGAAATTGCAAATCCACACATGTTGTACTGCATCTAAAAATCCACGTACAATAAACCCGGGAATACTCCAAGCAAGTCTGAGCCTCCCTTGTCTAAGACACTTTTAGTCGGTGGTGTATCCACTCCAGGACCTCTCTGGTGCCCGTGCTCGGTGAAGAGCAGGCCTCTCACCACGGAGGGTAGAACGGAGGGGTCCCCAGGAGAGATTGCAACAGAATGGCACCCAATATGGGACTGAACAAGCCCACGTTCAAAGGCTTATTATAGCCAGGGCCAGCTGTTCTTTGGAGACTTTTGAACGCTGTTTAAAATACAGCCAAAAAAAAGTTTTCAAAAGGAGTTGATAATCCAAGCAGCACCAGTGGACCATTGTTCTGCAGAAATTGGAAATCATTAGCAATCCTAAAACTCTAGCAGATCTCCACTCACTGTGAGGGCCTTTGAACTGGGTCAGACCCTGGCTAGGTCTCACTAAGACCTGAGTCCCCTGCTCAGTTTATTGAAAGGGGAGAGAGAGTTGCTGTCTCCCAGGGAGCTGACTCCAGAAGCAAAAACTGCAATTGAAAAAGCACAAAGGGCCTTGACAGAAAGACAGGCACATCACTTTAAACCAGAGCTGACTTTCAAATTTATTGTCCTGGGGAAATTACCACAATTACATGGGTTGATATTCCAGTGGGCTGAGGGGCAGAGAGATGCACTCTTAATCATAGAGTGGGTCTTCCTCTCCCATCAACAACCCAAAACTATCACCAAGCCACAAGAGCTGATGGCTCAGCTGATCCAAAAGGCCAGGGCAAGGCTGCAAGAACTGGCAGGTTGTGACTTTGTGTGTATTCACCTCCCAGTTAGACTCTCTGGAGAAGGCAAACACTCTCCTGAGAAACTGACCAAAGAGATGTTTGAGCACCTGCTGCGGAGCAATGCTAACCTCCAATTTGCTCTGGATAGCTACAGTGGGCAAATATCGGTCCATGCACCATCACACAAATTGTTTCATGAGGAATTCCACCTCATTCCTTGTGAGAAAAGGAGACAAAGGCCCTCAAAGCTCTTACAGTGTTCACTGATGCATCTGGAACTTCTCATAAGTTTGTGATGACTTAGAGAAATCCGCAGACTCAGCTTTGGGAAGCTGATGTTGAATTTGTAGAGGGATCACCCCAGACAGCTGAACTGGCAGCGGCCGTAAGAGCCTTTGAGAAGTTCTCAGAACTGATTAATTTGGTTACTGGATTCAGCCTACGTAGAGGGAGTGGTGTCCAGAGCAGAGCAGGCAGTTC